CCTTTCGGTACAATGACTCAGTATATTCCTTCCATCTTCTTTTGATACCTCCTGGATCATTTAACATTCTGCCTAAAGCATCCTTGATTGTAGCAACTCGAGGTTTGAACAATTTGCTCTTCAGTTCCTTGAGCTTAAGAAATGCTGAGCGAGTTCGGCCCTTTTGATTTTTGGCAGCACATATACTAAAATTGGAACGATACAGAGAAGATTAGCATGGCCCCTGCGCAAGGATGACACGCAAATTTGTGAAGCGTTCCATATTTTATGTTAACACAATAAAGATTCAACATCCCTTTTGATCATATACTGTGCATGTGACCTCTGTGCAGCCTCCATATAGGGAGTAAATACAGTGACTTTCTGATTCAAGCAGTTGGATTAATCAAGTTTTATATTTCAGAGACTCACATCTATATAATCTCTTTAAATTAAAGACATGCTGTTGCTTATTTCAGAGGATACACAATTAAGATTTTAAATACTTAATTTAAAAATTATATTGTCTATGCTTTTAAAGGGAATATTTCTGTTACTAAAACTGTGAGTTAGTTTGTTTTGTCTTTATGTAAAATTGTGGTAATTTATTCCAGGCATCGAAATATACTGTAACATGTTTTTCATTATTTCATCATTAGCTTTTGCCTGCGATTGCTGAACAGCTACAGTGGATGCCATTTGTGAATGTCAAATATCATGAGCCTTTTGTAAAGTTTATATATTGGTCACTAAGGCAACTAGATGCTGGAACACAGGTAATTCATGAACAAGAATCTGTCTTCGTGTGGTATTCCATTTAATGTTGTTTTCATGATGTTTCATAGTGCGATATATGTTGCGTGTGTTCTTTTAGTATATCAGAACTTCTGGGTGTCTCCCTTTATTCACTGTCTGTAGTCACTGCTTTCAGGAATATGTTTTATTTCTCAATGTTGTAGACTTGATTTTTATTTATATATGTATATTTTTAAATTGTATAGAATATTTGTTTTATTACTGTCTTGTTTTTCTTAGTTGCTTTTGAGTTGACTGTGATTCCTAGCAACCTATGTAAAACAGAATGAAACCTTGCCTGATCCTTTGGTATCCTTACAGTCTGTTCTCCTTAAGCCCATTGTTAGTCTCTCTGTCAGTCTCTCTTATTGCATGTCTTCCTTTCTTTCATTGACTCTTTACTTTTCTTTCTTTTTTTTTATAAAGCAGTCTATTTATTTTATTTTTTCTTTTTTTATTAATTTCTAATGCAACATATATACTTTTTATAGCATATTCTTTCCACTTAATTTCTCCCATTCATTCATTGTTTCATTTTCCTCCCTGCACACCCCTCCCCCAGTTTGTTTTTCTCTTTGAAGAAAAAGGGAAAAAAATTTCTTTTATTGTTATGCCATCCCCCCTCGAGTTACAGTCCACTTTAATAGGCATTTCTTTTTCTGTAATTTTGTCATGAAAATAATACCTAATCCTATGGTCCTTTTAAACAGTTCTCTCCCTCATCTGTTTCCATGCAGAATACATTATTTATCCCCTCTTTTCTTAGGTTTCCCCCAACCCCTATGTCAGTGCCATTTTACAACAGTGGCACTATGCAGTATTTGTCCTTTTGTTATTGAGATAGTTCACTCAGTGTAATGTCCTCCAAAGTCACCCAGTTTTTAAAAAAATTAATTTTAATGAAAGTTTAGAGACTTAGGGTTTCCAGTCATTCATTGCTGCACTTTTCTCCCTACCCACCCCTCCCCCCAATTCACTCTTCTTGAAAAGAAAGAAAAACTCTTTCGTTGCTATGCAGTCTCCTCCCCACCCCACCAAGTCCACTCCACTATGCAACCTTCACTCTGGACTTCTGTAATGACAAGAATACCCATTCATATATACCTTTTAGACAGTTCTCTCCCTCATCTGTTTTAATGCAATATACATCATTTCTCCCTTCCTTTTCTGTCTTCCCTCAACCCTGATGTCAGTCCCATTTTACAACAGTGACCCTATGCAATATTTTTGTCATTTTGTGTCTGGGGTATTTCACTCAGCATAACGTCCTCCAGGATCACCCATTTTAAATAGTTTTTCATGAGTTCCTTGTTTTTCAGTGCAGCATAGTATTCCATTGTGTGATATACCAGACATTCATTTGTTGATGGGCACTTAGGTTGTTTGCAACTCTTTGCTATTATGAACAGAGCTGCAGTAAACATGGGTGTGCATATATCTGCTTGGGTGGCAGTTATGGTTTCTTTAGGGTATATTTCCAATAGTGGAATTGCTGGGTCAAATGGTATTTCTATTTCCAGCTTATTGAAAAAATGCCATACAGCCTTCCATAGTGGTTGCACCATTTTACACTCCCACCAACAGTGAATAAGGATTCTAGTTTCTCCACAGCCTCACCAACATTTGCCTTTTGCTGCTCTTTTGAGTTTTGCTATATTTCATAGTTGTTTTGAGACTCTTTACTTTTCTAAGTATGATATCCTTTTCCAGAGACTGGCCCTTCTTAAAAATATGCCCAAAGTATGAGACAAAGTCTCATGATTCTTGCCTCTAGAGGGCTCCCTAGCTGTACTTCTTGCAAGAAAGCTTTTGTTTGTTCTTTTGGTAGTCTATGGTATATTCTGTACTCTTTACCAACACCACAATTTAAAGGTATCAGTTTCTTTCGTCCTTCTTATTCGTTGTTCAAATTTCATGATCACGTGAAGCAAGTGAAAAATAATATCTTGGGTTAGGTTATTAGGATAATTTAATTGAGAAATTCAAACTGGATTCAAAAGAGGCTGTGAAATGAGGGATATCATTGTCAAATGGATCTTGGCTGAACACAGAGAATATCAGAAAGATGTTGACTTGTGTCTTATTGACTATGTAGAGGCATTTGACTATGTGGATTATTATAAGAGTGAGAATCTTAGAACACTTGAATCCTTTATTTAAGTGTTCATTCAGTTAATAAATAACAAAATAAAATTTGGAATTGTTTGGTTCAGTTTAGGTCCTGTGAAATGTAAGAAACAGATTAGCCATCCTGTACAATACTGGTGTTTAAGTAATATAATGTAGTCTAATTATTGACACAGTGACTGTAACAATGGGCTCAAGCGTGTTTTTGATGATTAGGATGGTGTAGGATAGGGCAGGGTTCTGACCTGTTGTTTATAGTGTAGCTTCGTGAGTTATTGTTCATAGCATTGCAATGAGTTGAAGACACTTAGCAACAGCAACAACATAAAATAATCTATATTGAGACTATATCTTTTGTATCTTGCCTTTTTAGATATGAGTAAGCATACTTGTATGTGCACACAGACACACACTTTTCTTTATTTGTATTAGTTGTGTGTCCCGTCAATCAAAACAGATCTATTAATATGACTCTCATTTTACCACATTTTGCTTTTTGATTGCCTGTTTTTGCCAAAGATTAGCCAAATCCTTACTTGCAGCTATTAAAGGCTAGCCTTTAACAAAGTGTAATGAAAGGTAATTTTATTTTCCTTTCAGATAGTTTTCTCATTTTAATTAAAATGTTTTATCTTTAAATATTTTGGGGGCACTCTACTTTAGGTGCTATTATAAAGAGTATTCCTAACTTGCACCTGTTATTCTGGTGAAAAGTCTCATTCTTGGTACTCTTTCATTCATTTATTGATAGTATTTATACTTTTCATGATTTAGCTTAGCTTGAGATTTTAAAATCTTTCTATTCTGAGATGACCAATTTTAAATATTTGTAAAATAATTTTAATATCTCTTATATTAAGAGAAAGGTGTGTGTCAAGGATGTGTTCTATCTCCATATCTTTTCAGTCTATATGTGGAACAGATTATGTGGGAGGCAGGGTTCTATGAGGAGAAGTGTGGCATCAGGAGTGGAAGAAGACTCATCAACAGTCTGCATTATGCAGATGACACCACCATGCTTGCTGAAACTGAGGAGGATCTGAAGCTCTTGCTGCAGAAGGTCAAGGACTATAGCCTTCAATAATGGATTGAGGCTCAACATGAGTAAAACAAAGATTCTCACCCCTGGGCCGATTGGCAGCATCATGATAGATAGTGAAGAGATTGAGATTGTTGACAGCTTCAGTTTTGACAGCTTGGCTTTACAATCAACACTCTTGGTACCAGCAGCCAGGAAATGAAAAGACTAATTGCATTGGCAAAATCTGGTGTCAGAGCTCTCTCCAAAGTACTGAAGAGCAATGATGTCAGTCTGGAGATTAAGGTACACCTGATAACAGGCCATGGTCTTTGCAATTCTGGACTATGACTAGGGATGATAGAAGGAGAATTGATGTCTTTGAGCTGTGGTGCTGGAGAAGAGTATTGAAAATACCGTGAACTGCTAGGAGAACAAACAAGTTCATCCTGGAGAAGGTGAAGCCAGGCTGCTCCTTGGAGACAAAGATTCTGAAGCTTCGTCTGACATACTGGGACATGTTGCATGGTGGGATCAGTTGTTGGAGAGGGATGCCATGCTTGAGAGGGTGGAGGAACAGAGCAGTAGAGGAAGACCCTCTATGAGGTGGATTGATTCAGTCACTGGGATAATGGGAATAGGTGTGTTGGAGACAGTAAGATTGGCAAGGGATTTTAAGGCTGTTGTACATAGGGCCGCAGGTGACTCGACAGCACATAACAACAACAACAATCTTTCTAGCCTTTAAAAAAGATTTTTTAATGCCTTTTTGTAAGAGGATGGGTGGGTGGGCCTTTGCTTCTGCTGCCCAAAGGAGAGATAAAAGTGTAGGTTCTTTACCAGGCTTCTGTTGAAGCAAACAATTTGAGAACTTGCTGGTGGAAGGTAGAAGTTCTGCCCCCACCCTCCCCACTAGGTCTGCACTGATAACCTCCATGCTAGTGTAATAGGAGTATCCTGTTACTGTAATAGGTATGGCATCTACTGATATTGCATTATATAGGCTGGTAAGGTTGGAAGTTAAGGATCCCTTTTGGCCTTGCTGGCGTGGATGGGGGTTGGGTAACGGATTTTTCTGTGGTATCTGGCTAGACTGTACTAGTTTTTTCTAAAAGATTTCTGTCTTGCTAGACTGCACTTTTCCTAATCCTTCACTAGAGAATGAGGTATATGTTGGGGTGTTTTTGTTCGCACCTCCTCATAGTTCTTTGTTACCTTTTTGCCTAACTCCTCAACAAAGAAAGGAAGAAAAAAGAAAATCCACTACTGTGGATTTCTTGGGTGTTGGGGTCCCTATCCACTCTGTTGGCTTCTTGTCACCTCTCAGCTTATATTGTTTTTATAAAATGTCTAGGTTTTAGTGTACTCAGAACAGGATGGCTAGAGGAATGTACATCTGTTTCATCTCTCCAGAAGCAAAGGTATTTTATATCTCTGGAAATTTAGTGGTAAAAAGTTGTACTGCCAACCTAAAGACACATGCTTTGAATCCTCCAGCTGGTCTATGAGAGAAAGATGGGCAGTCACCTCAGTGCAGTTTATTGCCTCTGAAAATCTTCTGGAGGATCAGCTGTGGCCCAACTCAGTGGTACATAACAACGACAACATATGCTGGGTTAAGTTGTTTTTTAAAAACATTTTTTGCATACTCTTAGAGAAGGTTATTAGGGAGCTCTGGTGAGTATTGGTAAGAAGCTGCACTGCAGTTCCAAAGTCACAGGGTTCGAATCCACCAGCTGCTCTGTGGGAGTAAAATGGGCTGTCTCCTCCCATGCAGTTACTACCTCTGAAAATCCTTAGGAGGGTCAGCTATGAGATGACTCGATGGCACAACAGCAACAGCATCAGAGAAGATAACCAACTTTGCTTGCAGAAAAACAAACAAACAAACAAAAACACCAAACCTTGAAGCTCTTTTTAATGGAACTCAAAGACTTCAGTATGGACTACACTTTAACCTAAAAAAAGCTGAAATTTTTACAAGTGGACTGGTAAACAATCACATCATAAATGCAGAAAATATTTGAAATTGCCAAGGATTTAGTTTTAATAGGATCTGCAATCAATGGACATGGAAGCAGCAGTCAAGAAGTTAAACAGTCTATTGCATATCTGCTGCCAAGGACCTCTTTAAAGTCCTGAAGAGTAAAGGGTGTCAGTGTAAAGACTAAGGCCGACCTAAACCACAGTATTTTCACTTGCTTCATGTGCATGTGAAAGTTAGACAGTGAATATGAAAGAGCATAGAAGAATTAATGCCTGAATCGTGAAGTTGGTGAGGAATATTGAATAAATAGCATAGACTGTCAAAAGAACAAACAAATCAACAAACAGATTGGAAGAAGTGCAGCCAGGGTTCCCCTTAGGAGCAAGGATCATCAAACTTTGTCTCACGTGGCTTTGAGTGTGTTATCTGGAAGTTTTCATCCCTGGAGGAGGATGTTGTATTTGGAAGAGGAGAGGGCCTGCTAAAGAGAGGAAGACTTCCACTGAGATGGATGCAATTATTGAGTCGTTTCTCACTTCTAATTTTATTCTTAGAAAATGACTGTTTTAAGTTTCTTGATTTACCAATCTGTACATTTGTTTTTAGAGAACTTATACTTAATTTTAAGGAGGCCTGGAGGTGCATCATCTAAGTGCTTGATTGCTAATCCAATGTTGATTCAAACCCATCCAATTGCTGTGCTAGAAGAAAGACATGACAGGTTTCTATAAAGATTACCAAAACCAAACCCATTCCTGTCCAGGCAATTCCGACTCCTGGTGACCCTAGAGGAGAGAGTAGAACTTCCCCATAGGGATTCCAGCGCTATACACCTGCCCTCTGCAGAGCTCCTGATGTGTTTGAACCACCTCTTTTGAAGGAGCAGCCAAACATTTCAGGCACTACACTGCCAGGCTCTAGAAAGCCTAGGAAATCCTGTGAGGCAGTTCTCTCCCACGTAGGGTTGCTGCAAGTCAGGAATTGACCCATTGGCACCTATCAACAACATAATTTACCTACTTTTAACCCATTTTAATTAATTAAAAAGTGACTGGTTTTTAGTACATATGTGTGATTGTAGCATTCAAAATGTACTAAAGTTAGAGTGGGGTTTTTTTTTTCCTTCTGTTTTTCTGAATCTGAATAAGTATGCTTTTGTTGTGTGCCATCAAGTAGGAATTGACCTACAGCTGACCCTCCAGCCGGTTTTAAGAGGCAGAGTTGCCCATTCTTCTTCTGCTGAATAGGTGTACTGAGAGAATTTTCTGTTGTTAACAGCATTCAACTTTGACATCAACATTGAGAAGATTGGGTGAAGACATATTCAAAGGAGTAGTAACTAAGGGAACCCAGGATAACTCTCTTGAGCATTCTGCAGAGATTAAACCAAAGATGGCTGCTTTTTTTAAGAGCTCAAATTTGTCACTGCGATTTTTATCAACTTTAATTGTTCTTAAAACGGTAACTCAAGGTAAGATCTTAAATGTTTTTATGGTAGAATTTTTGATAAGCAATTTGAAGAAAATCTCTATAATAAAGCAGTTCTTATAATACAGGCTTTACCTTTTCAGAATCAGATTTTATGTCATTTACAATGGTAACACATACTTTAAACTCTAATTTGTGTAATCTTATAAAAAAGAATATTCAGCCAGATTGTCAGCACTTTCTGGACGGTGTAGGCCGCCTTCCTCGCAACCTTTGCTTACTGCTCTGATTGTGTGCCATGTAGTACTGAAAATGCTTGTGAATTTATTCTTTTTCACCAAATGGCCTTGGGCTCAACCCAGGCCACCACTGTTTTGTTTTCTTTTTTATTGTGTTAAATACATAGGTAATAAGACACCACGACTCTTTTTTGTTTATTTTTTAAAGTTTTTGAGCAAAAGATTACGTATCATGTTGTTTTTTCATTCACTATTTCATATGTTTTGTTTTAGAACATTAAGTATAACTAATAAGTTTAATAAAATAATTATCTGATCAGCCCATTTCTCTTCATACAAGAATCCTCGATCCAAGAATGATTCAGTGTGTATGCCACTGTTGTAAATAAAAATCTGTTGGAACATAGCCATGCTAATTTTTTTTACCGATCTATGGCTGCATTTATGCTACAGAAATGTGAATAGTTGCAGCAGAGACTATATATCTTATCTAGACTATAGGTTATCGAGTAGTGCTAGAACAGGAAGGCTACATCTCGCTGGCTTTAACAAACAGAACTTACTTTTCTCACAGTGAAAGAGACTGGAAGTCCAAGTTCAATGTGCCACCTCCAGGGGAAGGCTTTCTCTGTGTAGAAGAAGGTTTTTGTCTTTGTGAACTTTTACTAAAAAATAATTTTATGTGATTGAGTATCTCTCTTCCTTCAGCATGCTTCCTGCTCTTTTTCGTGTATTAAGAGAATGACTCAAAACATACTCTATAGAAATCCTGCCTCATTAACATTGACAGACAACTTAATCTCAAACACAGTTACAGCTATAGATGTAGAAATTAGGACAACATGGTTCAGTCTATAATACTGTATGAAACCCACTAGCTAAAGCTTGTAATCTTTGCATCTGGCCCTTTGCAGAAGTTTGTCAACTCATGTTCTAGTTTCCGGCAAATCGAATCTGACATCCACTTGATCTGCCAGTTTGTTTTCAGGGCTGTAAAATGCATTGAGGCGACTGCCTGTCTTTCTTCCAAGGAGTATGCTGGTGTATGTGAACTGCCAGAGAGGCGCTGCGTTTGGGTTAGCAGTGGAACTCCAGAAGGACTATGCCACCAGGGTGCCCTGCTCTACTGCTAGGTTGGATATGCAGTTGCCACACAGAACTCACAGACATTAATCACAATTATGGAGTTAATTGTTCTTCTTTTGTGTCATCAAGTCAAGTACAACTCATTGCGAACCTCTGAACACAGATCTGAACCCTGTCCTGTCCTGTGCCATCCTTATCTTCGCTAGCATACTTGAACACATAGCTGCGTCACTGTGTCAGTCCATCTCACTGAGGATCATCCTTTCCTCCCCTGACTATCTTTCCAAACATGATGCCCTTTCCAGGGAATAGCCCTCCTAACAACATGCCCAGAGTCTGTGATATGAAGCTTTGCCATCCTTGCCTCTAAGGAGCACTCTGGCTGCACTTTCTCTAAGGCATATCTGTTTGGTTATTTTTCAGTCCATGGGATATTCAGTACTTTTTTTCAGTACCATGAATTATTCTTTTGTCACCTTAAATGGCATTAAGTAGGGAAATACAATTCTAGTTGGAAACATTGAGAATGTCATTCTTCAACCAGGCACCTTCTCCTCGGGTGTGTATGCACACAGACCTTCCTCTATCCCTTGAGTTCTGCCCCATGGCCAGGTGAGACAAGTGTTACAAAGCTCCTTTTGTTCTCCCTCCTCTACCCTGAACTCAGCCTAGACTAAGGCATTCCTCCTTGGGTCCTCTCTGCTTTATCTCAAAAAAAGTTGCTGGTTCTCCCCCCCTCTACTGCAGCTCCCATGTCTCAGTCTGGCTCCTTTTCCTGCAGAAATCTCTGGTTCCAGATAGAAAATACGTACTGCGTTCTGTGCTCCTTTCTTGGTGGTAGTGACATTTCTGTGTTTTGCCTCTGAAGCGGATCAGTTCATGTCTGGCAGGATAGCAAAACTGAGCAATTCCCTCACACATCTTATTTGGATTTTCTCTCAAAAAAATTTGCTGTTTAACTTATTTACGGTAGTTGCAGGCTATTTGAGGGGATTCTGGTGATGTAGTCCATAGTGAATTTTCCTGCTAACCTAAAGGCTGTATGTCTCTGACATTTTATCCACCAGTGGCATCACAGGAGAAAGATGGGCACTGTGAGTCAGAACCACTGCAGATCTCGTTCTTATTGTTGTGTACCATTGTGTCAGAACTGGCCCATAACAGGTTCCATAGAACCTTCCAGCAGGTTTTCTGAGGCAGTAAATTGCATGAGAGGAGATTGCCCATCTTTCTCCCACAGAGCACCTGGTGGATTTGAACTGCATACTTCTTTATTGGTAGCGCAAACCTCCTTAGTGAGCCACAGACACCTCACATTTCGGTAGTCTTTCAAAGGTTTCTTGGCTTTGTGAGTAAGGAGCTGTGCTGCCAACCCAAAAGTACATTGTTCAAATCCGCCAGCTGCTCCTTGGGAAAAAAGGTGGACAGTCTCCTGTGTGATTTGCAGCCTCTGGAAACCTTCTGGAGAGTTGGCTATGAGTTGATTCTAACTCCGCAGAACAGAAAAGCAACAACAAGGGCAACCATAAAGTAAACGCCAAAGCCAATGACTAGAAAGTCCATATTTAAGAATCCACTGTAGCACTGGATGTTTTAAAAGCCTTAACCTTGTGAAAATGAAGAGTATAAATATATACATAATGGAAGAATTAATACATTAATAAAGATAACCACTAAGTTAAATAGCAGAAATAAAGGAATTTTACATTTTTCTGACGTTCGAAGATTAGGTATAATAAAAATTCTAAGATGCCCAAGTGATGTAATATAATAGCAGTTAAAATTCCAATATGCCTTGTGTAACTTGAGGAAGCAGTAAAGGGATACTGTGAAAATAAGTAGTGGAGAATATGATGATTTGCAAATGAGTATAACCAAAACACTGGGGATAGAGGCTTACCTTGGCAGATTTAAAAATGATTGTAATAATAGTAATAGCTTAGTGAAGTTGATTTAAACCACCAGAATAGAACAATGGGAATAAGATGTGTTCAGAAATGGCTCTTCATAAATATTTATTTAGTGAATGCATGTGAATGCTTCCTTGTGAGTCAATTTTTGAAAAAAAGAATCATGAGAATAGACCTTGCTCTCAAAGATACTAGGATCTGTGGTTAAGTAGATAGTAAAGATTTCATTCTACTTCATTTTCAGATTAATGGTGTGCTGAAACTTTGGGCAGTGTGCTACTGAAGTAAAGAAGAATAACTTACTTCTGGTGGTGTGAAGGAAGGGCTGAAGAGAGGATTTAGTACAAATTAGCACTTGAGCTAGACCATCGAGGATGTGTAGAATTTCATAGGCAGAGGATAAAAGGAGACCATTCCTGGGCGAACAGTATAAGCAAAAGCCTGTAGTTATGAATGGGCTTGTCATATTAGACCACCAATGAGTTGTCAAATAAAGGATTTGATGGGATCATAGATGGTCCTTGAATGCCATGTTAAGGAGTCTAGATGTACATTTTTATTTCAGAGGATCTTTGCCATATAAGCTGGCCCTATTTATTTAGCAGCGTTTTTACAAATTTCCTTCTATTTTGCTTTCCTGCTTTATTAAATATTAGATTTCTTGTGAAAATGGATTTCAGCTTTAATGGAATAGCAGGGACTAGTTTCAACTTTATCCTGAAAGTAAACAACCTGCAAAGAAAAAAAAAGGATAATGAAAGAATTTGTTTCTTGAAGACGGGAACCTCTCCAAAGTGCTAAAGAGATAATGATGTCAGTTTAAAGATTAGGTGCATCTGAAGCAAGCCATGGTCTTTTCAGTTGCTTGCTATGAATAAGACAGTGATCACTGAGAGAAGAGAAATGAACAAGGTGAGCCTTATCATTGCTGAGCTTAATACCTGGAGAGAATTTCCACATGGTGGAAAAGGGGAATGTAAAATGACCTAGGCATCGTCCCTGAGAATTTGTGTAAACCAAGCAGGCTACCGTTTGTAGAATGTAATATTAAAGAAGCTAGCACGTCATGAAGAGGAGGAGTGAGTCCACTGGGAGAGAGCAACAGCGATCTGCAGAGTATGTCATGTAATTTTTAAGCTGAGTAGTGATCAGTACACGTGTGAGGGAATGATCAGATTTGAGACAAGAACTATCAGGCATAGATGGTACAATCCTGGTAGTTCACCATGCCAAGGAAAGTTGTCTTTACCACTGAAATTCTCAATTATTTCACTTTACTTGGATCCACAGTCAACACCTTTGGTACCAGCAGTCAAGAAATCAGAGAACATATGTTGCAGTGGGAAAATCTGCTATCAGGAACCTCTCCAAAGTGCTAAAGAGATAATGATGTCAGTTTAAAGATTAGGTGCGTCTGAAGCAAGCCATGGTCTTTTCAGTTACTTGCTGTGCATAAGAAAGTTTGACAATGACTAAGAGAATGACAGAAAAACCAATGCCTTTGGGTTGTGTTGGCGAAGAGTACTGAATACCCCATGGACTGCTAAAAGGACAAAGAAAGATGTCTTGGAGAAAGTGCAACCAGGGTGCTCCTTGGAGGCAAGGATGGTGATGTTTCATCTGATAATACTTTGGGCATGTTCTCAGGAGGGGCCAGCCCTTGAAATAGGACATTATGCTTGGAAAGGTGGAGGGTCAGTGTAAGAAAGAAAGAGCCTCAACAAAGTGGATTGGCACAGTGACTGTAACAAGGGACTAAAGTGTGTCAGAGATGTTAAGGATGACACTGTTCATGGATTGCTATGAGT